TTCAGGCGTTTTTAGAAGTAAACATTGTCTTTTCAGAGAAAATGCAGTGTTTACATTACAGCCTACTGGCCACTCCTCAGATGGTTATTAGAGATTCTTCCTGGGGCAGTGCTGCACACTGTGCAGTACTGCAATTCAGTGTCTCCACCTTCTCCATGCAGAAACTGAACTTTCCTTATAGAGATGTATTGATTCAATGCATCTCTATGAGGAGATGCTGATTGACCAGAGCTGTGTTTGACTTGTGGTGGCTTTGCCCCTTATCTGTCTTCTTGACAGTCTCAGCCAATCCTATGAGTAAGCATTGTGATTGGCTCAGACCACCACTTTTGATGATGTCAGCAGACAGCAGGCAGGTCAGGAGCAGAGGCAGCAGCTGCAGACTTAATTACAAGTAAGATTTTACTATATTTAGGGAGGCAAGAGAGGGCCAAGGGGGGCTAGATGGTGGTTTTAACAATATAGGGTCAGGAATACGTTTGACATTAGACAGCCTGTAACAGAGTTCTGGACTAACTGAGTCACGTAAGCTCAGGGTGCAGCTTGCCCAAAGAACAACACAATTAAACATATTTCTGGATGTCCAGTATGTCTCCCCCTGGACAGCCACCCTACTGGCGAAATGCTCGTCCGGACTCACTTGCTACCTGTGACTGGACTTGTCTCCATATTTATTGACTTTTATCAAGATGTATCCAAGATAGTACTTCATTTCAGTCCAGGTATTTTTAGACCGATTTAATTCTGCTCTCCTTAGTGACAGTTAGCTTTTTGCTTGCTCCACAAGCACAAGTGCCCTTGAATGCACAGCATAGGATTTCTACAGAGCAGACTCTTCACTGAGCAGTTTTATTTATACCTTGCAGTAATTTTCTTTACTATAACGTTTTACTTTGGTATGGACTTGTGGTGCACCATGATTCCCCCAGAGCGCTACTTAGTTGAGGTTCCCTCTCTCTTTTAGTCTCAACCTCCTAAGATATTTTGTTGTTCTTTAGAGGTTTATAGTAGAAGCTAGTTGTTTCAGTGCTTTAGATACATGGCACTGTTTCACTTTGAGAGACACACTGTATAATGCATCACAAGTGAGAATTTACACCAGAGTGATACAGAGCTAAGTCTTGATGACATTAAACAAAGGGATTTGCTTGTGAATTTGTGTTCTGTCTCACTAATCACTTATTATTATTAGTCTTTTGTTTCTTATTTATTGTACATAGTTCTCATTCTTTGTATATAGTTCTATTCTCTTCTTTCTTTCACCTCATTCATTGTATATACATTTACTTTATTTACCTTTACATTTTTGTTATGTAAAGGTATTACTTGATTTACTTGTGACACCTACCTAATAGTGTCTGCCATTTATTCGATATACTTGTTATTGAAATTTTTTTAGTGGTCATCAATAAAAATTAAGTTTTAAATACTTATTCATTGCTCTCTTGGTCAGGGAATTTCTCCATTTTTGTTTCCAGTATTTCAAACTGAAACACTGCACATTCAAACTCCTACCATCATGACAACTTTGAAAAGCAGAAGTTGGAGTAATGTAAACAGAAATAATAATATTAACAATCCATGGTGGGAGTAACCTTTTATCTCATTAGATATATCTTTGCCTGAAGCTCAAGGAAGCAAGGTAAAAGGTCAGTGTAGGACCCACCTGAGGGGGTTTACCTTGACGTTGGCAGGCTGGCATTCCCTCCAGTGGCCATTGAAGTAACTAAATAATCTCCATTTGTTTAAATATACATAGGGATTTAGTAGAGAGCCCAGGTAACTTTGGTTTTTACTGTATGTATTGGGGCTGTGTACTGTGGTCGTTGCTGCCACCCAGGAGTGATGGGAGTGAGCGAAGGACTTGTTTATTGTATTAATATAAACACAGCCTAATTAGTGAACTTCCTTAATCAGCTAACCCACAGATATTCCACTATAATAACCTTTTTAAAGATCATACGTATTCTAGAAAGCACATCGCCATTTTGTTATAGGCTATTTTAACCCGGCTGCCTTCTGCTAAACTATAGAATTAGATTTTTCATCTAGTTCAGCTGCTTTACCAAGCCCGTGATGGAGAGAAGCAGTTTAAAACTGACAGCCAATTCAATTATGTTCCTATTTTACTGTGTATTACCACAATTATCCCAGAAACAATAATTTTGTGAACTAGACGTGTATTGTGACTTCAGATATTTGTTCTCAGTAAGTGTGAAAGATAAAAGCATTTGATAGAGTGAAACTTTGGAATTTAGAACAGAGGGACTTTAAACTCATTTGTTTAATGGCCCAATATCCTCTCTGATCTATCTCTTTTTAAAGCCAATGTCATATTCCTGTCCAGTGAAACCATCTGTTTTCTGTGACTTATATTTCTCCCTCTCTCAATGGACCTCTCTCAATTTCAGACACAACCTTTTAATCCTTATGTTGCAATGTGGGTTTCATCTGCACATTTCTATTGAAATATTCCTCAAATGCTCCTCCAGGTAAATATTCCATAATATAAATGACCCTGAATGAAAATAAAATAGATTGTGTTCAAAACATAGGCACACAAACAACAAAAAATAGACTTCATAATTAGAGTTGAGCAAACCCGGACTGTAAAATTCAGGTTCGTACCGAACATTAAGTTTTTTGAATCCAGGACCCGAACACGGACATATCAGTGTATGTTCGGGTTGGAGTTCGGTGTTCAGCGATTTAATGGCGCGTTTTGAAAGGCTGCAGGGCAGCCAATCAACAAGCGTTTGACTCGTGTGCCCTTAGAAGCCATCACAGCCATGCCTTCTAATAGCATGGCTGTGATTGGCCAGTGTAGCATGTGACCCAGCCTCTATATATCAGCTGGAGTCGCGTAGCGCCGCACGCACATGAGATCTTATTAGTGTAGGGAGAGGATGCTGCCGCTTTCAGGGACAGATTAGGAAAGAATTCTGCAAACTAGTACATTAGTGGGGTGCACTTCATATCTGAGAGTCAAATAAAAGTTGTCAAATACTGTGTTTACATCTGAGTTTTAAAAAGTCAATTAAATAGAAGCGTCATATACTGTGGTTACAGCACAATTGTAAACATTCTTATTTTCTGGGTGCTAAACTGCTAAATAGTAAATTTGGGGTGTGCTCTTTATATCTGAGAGTCAAATAGAAGCGTCAAATAGAAGCGTCAAATACTGCGGTTACAGCACAATTGTAAACATTCTTATTTTCTGGGTGCTAAACTGCTAAATAGTAAATTTGGTGCCTGCACTTCATATCTGAGAGTCAAATAGAAGCGTCAAATATTGCGGTTACAGCACAATTGTAAACATTCTTATTTTCTGGGTGCTAAACTGCTAAATAGTAAATTTGGTGCCTGCACTTCACATCTGAGAGTCAAACAGAAGCGTCAAATATTGCGGTTACAGCACAATTGTAAACATTCTAATTGTTTTGGTGCTAAACTGCTAAATAGTACATTTGGGGTGTGCTCTTCATATCTGAGAGTCAAATAGAAGCGTCAAATACTGCGGTTACAGCGCAGTTGTAAAAATTCTAATTGTTTTGGTGCTAAATTTGCTAAATAGTAAATTTGGGGTGTGCTCTTCATATCTGAGAGTCAAATAGAAGCATCAAATACTGCGGTTACAGCGCAATTGTAAACATTCTTATTTTCTGGGTGCTAAACTGCTAAATAGTAAATTTGGTGCCTGCACTTCATATCTGAGAGTCAAGTAGAAGCGTCAAATACTGCGGCTACAGCGCAATTGTAAACATTCTTATTTTCTGGGTGCTAAACTGCTAAATAGTAAATTTGGGGCGTGCTCTTTATATCTGAGAGTCAAATAGAAGCGTCAAATACTGCGGTTACAGCACAATTGTAAACATTCTTATTTTCTGGGTGCTAAACTGCTAAATAGTAAATTTGGTGCCTGCACTTCATATCTGAGAGTCAAATAGAAGCGTCAAATATTGCGGTTACAGCACAATTGTAAACATTCTTATTTTCTGGGTGCTAATCTGCTAAATAGTAAATTTGGGGCGTGCTCTTCATATCTGAGAGTCAAATAGAAGCGTCAAACACCGGTGCCAACTGCTGTGGCTTTCTGCAGTGTGCAGACCGGCAAGGAGGGCAGGGTTGAGGAGTGGGTGGAAGATGATGTGGAGGATGATGAGGTCCTAGACCCCACATGGAATCAAGGTCATGCGAGTGACGTGTGCAGTTTGGAGGAAAAGGCGCTGGTCACACAGAGGCACCAGTACAGCATAAGAGGGAGCAAGGTGCAAAAGCGGAGCAGCCGTCCCCTAGCACTCGTCGGCATGTATTAGATTGAGAATTACCAGTTATCCAAGTAACAGATGGAGCGATCAAAGGATCCATAATATCTGCAAAGTTTGGGTTCGTATCAGATTTAACGAGCCATTCTAAGTTTCACATTGATGGCAGCAGTCCGGTGACAGGAACCCATACACTGTCTGGGAGGCGGTCGGACGACCGGGACCCAGTATGCCTGATGTTGAAGTTAGGAATCACAGTGTGGAATGGATTAGCAGGGTCTGGTGCAGGGTAACCACATGCCCCCTGGTGTTGAGCACCAGCGTTTGTGCGGCCACATACCAGGACCCTGATGCAGCTTCAGTAAAAAGAGTACTGGATACCAGAAGCCATCACCAGACTGATCCGCATCTTGGAAATGGATGTGACATTCACTGTAGCGGCTGTGCACGCTTTTGGCATTCTCACCCTGCTGCTGCGCGCCTCTCGGCGCTGCAGCGTAACTTTGGCCTTCCCGCTCACCGCCTCATATACGATGTGCCCACAAGGTGGAACTCCACCTTGCACATGCTGGAGAGACTGTGCGAGCAGCAGCAGGCAATAGTGGAGTTTCAGCTGCAGCACGCACGGGTCGGTCGCTCTGCACCAGACTTGCCCTCCAATTGATCATAGTTAAAGGATTTCAAGTGGACTCATTACACTTACAGGGCCTCTAAAGAGTCCTGTATTGTTATTTGTCATCACTACATCCCCGCATCGGGAGTGGGTAATTTGCGCGCCTGCTGCAATCCTTGGATGTGGTAGCCGTTTCTCAGGTTCCCTCTCCGGAATCGAACCCTGATTCCCTGTTATCCGTGGTCACCATGATAGGTGCAGAAAGTGGCATCGAAAGTTGATAGGGCAGACATCCGAATGCAAAGTCGACGTCACGGGGACGTGTGATTGGCCCGAGGTTCTCTAGAGTCACCAAAGTGCCTGCGCAAGTATAATGTCAACAGCTACTCTGCCGAACGGATCTTCACTTCTCTTCCCCTCTCTCTGGCAGTACTGCCTCAGATCCTGAGAGATGCCTGGCCAGAAGAAACTGTGGGTGAGCCGAGACGCTGTCCGGCTCCTGCCCAAATGCCCTGCCAAGGGGATATCGTGAGCTAGCTTCAGCAGCTCTTACCAATACTTCTTCTGGGTGGCCCTTGTGATGCGGCATGCCCACTCCGCATGGGAGTCCTTCTCCCCTTTCCGTGTCTCCCTAAACTTTCGGCGGTATTGACCGCATACCGGCCAGGAGGATTTGTGTAATAAAGGGATTATCAGGGTCTGGTGCAGGGTAACCGCATGCTCTTCTGGTACAGCCCAGTAAATATCCGCTGCCTTCCCCACTAGTTTGCTGGCCAGGATGGTGACCCCGTCGCTGGGGTCCACATCTTGGAGTAGGCACTGGCGCTCAAAGTCTTGTAAAAAGTAATCGATGCCTTCTTCTGCTTACTTGAACTTTTTGAAGGCATTGTTGCGAGTGGGTAATTTGCGCGCCTGCTACCTTCCTTGGATGTGGTAGCCGTTTCTCAGGTTCCCTCTCCGGAATCGAACCCTGATAACCCGTTATCCGTGGTCACCATGGTAGGTGCAGAAAGTGGCATCGAAAGTTGATAGGGTAGACATCCGAATGCAAAGTCGTCGTCACGGGGACGTGTGATTGGCCCGAGGTTCTCTAGAGTCACCAAAGTGCCTGCGCAACTATAATGTCAACAGCTACTCTGCCGAACGGATCTTCACTTCTCTTCCCCTCTCTCTGGCAGACATCTGGCAGTACTGCCTCAGATCCTGAGAGATGCCTGGCCAGAAGAAACTGTGGGTGAGAGACGCTGTCCGGCTCCTGCCCAAATGCCCTGCCAAGGGGATATCCTCCTAACAGCCATGCTTTAAATTTTGATTTATGTTCTTCCAAAGCTAAATCAAAGATTCCATCTAGTGCCCTGCCAAGGGGATATCCTCCTGACAGCCATGCTTTAAATTTTGATTTATGTTCTTCCAAAGCTAAATCAAAGATTCCATCTAGTGCTATTTTATGGCTCAGCTGTATTTAAAATTTGTATGTATTTTATGTTATTTTAAGTGATTTCCCAATCCACATTTGTTTGCAGGGCACTTGTCCTACTCTTACCCACATTGTACTTCCTTTTGCAGCCCTCTAGCCCTTTCCAGGACTTTTTTAGAGGCATTTTTGTGCCCAAAAGTTCGGGTCCCCATTAACTTCAATAGGATTCGGGGTCAAGTTCGATCCTGAACCCGGACTTTTTTTCAAAGTTCGGCCGAACCCGCCGGACCTGAACATCCAGGTGTCCGCTCAACTCTATTCATAATACATCATTCTGTCTCTTCCTTTGTAAACAGAAAAAGACAATTTAGTTTTAACAAATTCTGAAGGAACCAACTGTTAAAGCAATACTGTGATTTTGAGATTGAAACCCTCCTTGTGCACTGAATAAATAAAGCCTAGTGAAGGAGTATACAATTGTTACAATATATTTGATTCCTGTCTTTAGTAACAAATATTTTACTAATAAATAATTTTCCGGGTGGTAGGATGACACACTGTAGACATTTTTGTTCACATTGAGACCTTGTATCCAAGAGAGTTAAAGGAACACTATAGCATTAGGTATACATATGTGTATTCCTAACTCTATAGTACCCTAGACACTATTTTGTTTGATTGCCAACCCCTTGAATGTAAAAAGTTAACTCCTCGAGAATTAACTTACCTTGTTTCCCATTCAGTGCTGCTCTCTCCATGACTGGTCCTGCATCCTTGGCTGGGATCATCGATATCGGTGATCTCAGCCAATCCAGTACTTTCCTATAGGAAAACATTGGGAAGCTTGTGCACATTCAATCAGATAGTCTCTCTGAGATTATCTCACTGAAATAGCGGAGTATTTCTCTGCAATTTCACTGCAGCCCCTAATTTTGAGATGTTAACCCTGCAAAGAAAACAGTGCTGTTCCTGCAGAATGGAAATGTTTTCACTTGCACGGTAAAACGGAAGGTATATGGCACCCAATCCACTTCTTTGAGATGAAGTTGACTGGGTTCCCCAAGGTGTTCCTTTAAAGATTTTAATCAGTTTCTTTTTATTTTTTAACTGTTAAGCAAACCTTGTTATTACTGTTTTTGCATTTCTAGCCAAAATACAACCAAGTGACATGAACGTCAATATTAACATTTTTTAAAACCTCTTAAAATTGGAATGTGCCACTGAATTGCAATAGCAATTTCTTTAATACTGTACCTGGGAAGAGGGAGTTGGCAAGGACTGTTAAAGGACTGAGCATTTACCATTGTACCAAGTAAGGGGTGGCTGGCACTGTTAGTGGCAGGAAACTATGCATCCTTTTCACACGGCACTGGACTGCAAGTTGGTGAGAGCCAGTGGAGGATCATCCATAGGGGCACTTGGGGCAATGCCCGATCAGTGTTTATGTGGGGAAACATTTATATGCAGTAGTTTAAAAGCACTAGAGGGGAGGTTGGTAATCCAAAACATATGAGAAAAATGTGTTTCTCTTTAATTTTTTAATAGGTGTCAGTTCTGCAGGACCCTCCTACCTCATTGGTAGCTGTTTGGAGAAGCTTATTTGAGAGCGTCTAGGCATGTAAAAAAAAATTGGACAGTTTTGAAATCTGCCCTGTTTCAGCAGGTTTTGCACATGCCAAGTCTTCTTTAAAAAGGAATTTCCATTTCATTGAGTCAGCTGCCCATGAGTGGAGACATGCTATTGGCCTCTCTCTTCAGGGTCCATCATTGGCTCATAACACCAGGGGTGAGGTTACAGTGTTCACAGAAGAGAGAAGCAAAAAGCTATCTTGGACACAGCATCTTGGAAAACAATCTTGGAAAAGATAACATCATACACTCATACACTTAAATTTGGCAGGGAGCAGAAGCTCCTGCCCCTCTACCAAATATACAGTCAGGTCCATAAATATTGGGACATCGACACAATTCTAATCTTTTTGGCTCTATATGCCACCACAATGGATTTAAAATGAAATGAACAAGATATGCTTTAACTGCAGATTTTCAGCTTTAATTTGAGGATATTTACATCCAAATCAGGTGAACTGTGTAGGAATTACAACAGTTTGTATATGTGCCTCCCGCTTTTCAAGGGACCAAAAGTAGTGGGAAAAGTGGGAAAATTGGCTACTCAGCTGTTCCATGGCCAGGTGTGTGTTATTCCTTCATTATCCCATTTACAAGGAGCAGATAAAAGGTCCAGAGTTAATTTCAAGTGTGCTATTTGCATTTGAAATCTGTTGCTGTCAACTCTCAATATGAGATCCAAAGAGCTGTCACTATCAGTGAAGCATACCATTATTAGGCTGAAAAAACAAAACAAACCCATAAGAGAGATAGCAAAAACATTAGGTGTGGCCAAATCAACTGTTTGGAACATCCTTAAAAAGAAAGAACACATTGGTGAGCTCAGTAACACCAAAAGACCCGGAAGACCACGGAAAACAACTGTGGTGGATGACCAAATAATTCTTTCTCTGGTGAAGAAAACACCCTTCACAACAGTTGGCCAGATCAAGAACACTCTCCAGGAGGTAGGTGTATGTGTGTCAAAGTCAACAATCAAGAGAAGACTTCACCAGAGTGAATACAGAGGATTCACCACAAGATGTAAACCATTGGTGAGCCTCAAAAACAGGAAGGCCAGATTAGAGTTTGCCAAACAACATCTAAAAAAGCCTTCACAGTTCTGGAACAACATCCTATGGACAGATGAGACCAAGATCAACTTGTACCAGAGTGATGGGAAGAGAAGAGTATGGAGAAGGAAAGGAACTGCTCATGATCCAAAGCATACCACCTCATCAGTGAAGCATGGTGGTGGTAGTGTCATGGCGTGGGCATGTATGGCTGCCAGAGGAACTAGTTCTCTTGTATTTATTGATGATGTGACAGCTGACAAAAGCAGCAGGATGAATTCTGAAGTGTTTCGGGCAATATTATCTGCTCATATTCAGCCAAATGCAGATGGACAATGACCCGAAGCATATTGCAAAAGCAACCAAAGAGTTTTTTAAGGGAAAGAAGTGGAATGTTATGCAATTGCCAAGTCAATCACCTGACCTGAATCCGATTGAGCATGCATTTCACTTGATGAAGACAAAATTGAAGGGAAAATGCCCCAAGAACAAGCAGGAACTGAAGACAGTTGCAGTAGAGGCCTGGCAGTGCATCACCAGGGATGAAATCAAGCATCTGGTGATGTCTATGCGTTCCAGAATTCAGGCTGTTATTGACTGCAAAGGATTTGCAAACATGTATTAAAAAGTGAAAGTTTGATTTATGACTGTTAATCTATCCCATTACTTTTAGTCCCTTAAAAAGTGGGAGGCACATTTATTTATGGACCTGACTGTAAATGTATGATATTATCTTTTTCTCTCCTGCAGTAGCCCCAGTGACTGCTTCAGGGCTGAATAAGCATGGAAGTTTACTTAAATATATAATTAATATATAAAATGCCAGGGAGGCCCAGGGGTGACAAAGGGGACATGTTTGACATGGGACATTGTGCTGCTGTCATTAATAACTTGAATAACTTCTACTGTACATACGCACCATCTTCTGTAAAGTGCTCAGTCATGTCAACTTCCTCGGACATGAGGTAACTTCTGAAGGATTAAATCCCCAGAGGAAGAAGGTTGAAGCTGTAATTAAGGCTAAAACACCTTCAAACATCAGGGAATTAAGATCGTTCCTTGGTATGACTAACTACTCCCGTAAATTTATAGATAACTATTCAAAAATAACGAAACCATTTCTTACACCTGCTTAAAAAGGAAATTACCTGGAACTGGGGGGAGCCTCAGAACCAAGCGGTAAGTGAACTGAGGAGGAAGCTCACTCAGGCACCCTGTTTAGCATACCCAGAGGGGGGTAAACCCTTCTATCTGGAGACAGGATATACTGATTTAAGCATAAGTGCTGTTCTGTACCAGAAGCAGGACAGTTTGAACAAAGTTATTGCATATGCTAGCAAGACTTTGTCACCTGTTTAAGTTAAATTCAACACGTGTGAGAAGGC